GACACTTTGTACACAAGGCGCATAAACTCAGCTTGAATTACGAATAGCAAACTCCTCCGGAACGTATTTCTACGAGTGTACACCAGACAGCTCGGAAGTTATCCCCGGGTTTTGCGATTCATATTCCTGTAATTCAATGGATCCTGCGGAATTTAAGCGGCATCACACCGCCGTGTTCACCGGGATCCGCTGAAATTAAGCCCCGAAATTGGAGTGCTAATTCATTTTAACAACGAAACGATGTTCGGGGAAACGCTCCGCGTCGTTCTTGCGTTTAAGCGCGACTTCGAAGTTCCGTTTGTGACGCAGATAAGTGTCTTAGAACGCCGGAATTGAATTTTTTTTTTCACTCGGCTGGGTTCGTTTATCGATCTTTTTTTTTTTTTTGGATGTTAATTAAGAATTTTATCGGCATTTTCCCGTTGAAAGGCAAATATTGACGAAAGAAACGAAAGCAAATGAAGAGAAAGGAATGAAATGAAAAAAAATAATAATAGGAAAGGCTATGGTATGGTTACAAAAGAGAGAAGAAAATATTAATAAAAAGGACTCTTAGTAATTATAACTGAACTGTGGATTCTTTTAAACGGGACATTCAAAATTCACAAAAATGCACGCGATAAACATAATATAAAATATCCTGAAGCACAGTATATTTAATCCTTCGGGGTCTACTGTTCCTCTGTACTACCTTTCACCATACCTTCATGCTCATAGAAATGCATCTTTCGGAGATTTTCGTTCAGCAAAATATTCAATGTTTAATTGCGATATATTTCTCAAATTTACTTGCGTCGGCGTTGCGCGAAATACCGATTAAAACTTAAAGCACGTATCTCGAGCAGCATGATCGCTCTCGATCGGCCTCTCGAATTGTCCTGGGATTCCACGGAAATTCCGGCCGGGGCCGATTTAAAAGTTGCACCCGAGATCCTATCGCGAGATCCACGGTGGTAGACGTCTGGTCGTTCCCGCCGCAGGATATTAAAACTTCGCGGGGAAATATATAACGGCTGTCAGCTCGACTGGATACGTCGTGGGACGAATAAAAATGCAACTTATAGCACGGGCTAGAGAATAAGGAAAGAGAAAAAGGGGAAAAAAAGATACAGACAAGTAAAGTTTCGTTTTCCCTGAGGGACTCACGAGGCGTTAGGGCTACGAAACTCGTCAGAGACAGAGATTTAGGCGGTGCGATTTGTTGGGCTTGAGCATGTTGCTAGATACTTCGAAGGCGTAATTGTATAATGAGAGAGATAGGAATGTTTCATGATGTGGTAAGTGAAAAAAAATTTTACGAATGATGCGGAACACTTTGAGAAGATTTACGAAGGGACTTGGAGTTTTTTGATTTTATCGGCTTTGGAAAAATGTGTCGAATCGAGAAAATACTAGATTTTTTTTAATATCAAATGTAATTGAACTGCAGATAAATTTTTATGTATATAAAATTATAAAAATCTAAATACAAATTGCCTTTATCCCTCGTTACTAACGTAAATAAATTTGAACAAATAGATTTTAGTTGATTAGTTTATTTATTTGAACAAATAGATTTCGCAAAAGGTTAAAAACCACTGCCCTAAGGGGTTCGAACGCGTAGCAGCTCGTTCGCCGCCACTTTCCAGTTTGATTTCCTCGGTGAATTTGCTTTTTCTACTAGCGGGACGTTAAGAGTGATAGGGTGAAACCGTGAAATTGAACTGCAACCTCTCTCTTTCTTTCTTCCATGTAAGATCGATCAAACGATGAGTGACACGCGTCACCGATCAAGGGAACATTGCAGGTTCTTAATTCGAAGCAATCTTTCTTCGTTTTCCAAGCTGATAATAATATGGCTTAAGTGTTTGATCGTACCTTGGATGAGATTGCTCGAGTGCACTCGAAGATTACACTCGCAAATCTCAGATTTGTTCGAACGCTCGTGTTATCTGATATCGTCCATAGATATTGTATATCGTAAATAGATATTAATATGATTTCAATTGAGAGACTTCTAGCGGCGAAGCAGTTGTAAATGTATTCGTATTTTGAAAATAAAATTTATTTAATTGTACAATAATGTACATTTCAGTTTTACAATAATCGAGCTAAATAGAAAAATGGATTTTTTAAATTTGACGCCATATTGAATGCCAATAATTTTATTATTAATCACGTCTAGTGATATTATTTTTAATTTCTAATTTCAATATATGAAATATTTTATTTATAGTTTCATTGATAATTCAAAATCATTTTGTTATATTAAATGTACATGAATAATTCCAAGAAATTAGCTATTTCCAATTTTGTCATATTCTATCATTAAAATTATTCTCTCTGGTAATTATTTTCATTTATTTTTCGTGCATAGTATAATATATATGTAGATACATATATACTACAAGTCTAGTAATTCCACTGTTAAAAAGAGGAATAATCTAGCAGTTCCATTCTCCAATTGAAGAACAATTTCACGAAACAATTTCTTGAGACCACACTTCAATTTGAGAAACAAAAAAAGAAACGAAGAAAGAGGAAGGGAAAGAAACGGGAGACTCATTTCACTCCAATAATTTGCAATCCTTAATGGGTTTCAGATTGCTCGTCGGTTTTCTATCCTTTTTCCCAACGTGTTTAAGGCAGGTAATATTGTTTCCCCTAACGTGCATTTAAATGCATGCACTTCTTCGTGCCCCTTTAGGGACAAATTATTAAGCTATCACAAATGAAATGGTCAGATTCTTAATATAAGACCAATTTAATAAATTACAAACAGAGTAATATTTGCAAAGATTAAAATCGATTTGTTTGGAATTAATTTGTTTTTACTAACAAATATTTGATTAAAATGTTAAAGTCGATTATCACGTAAAATAAAGTTGTATCAGATGAAATAGTGGACGAAAAAAAACTAAAAAGGAGAAAAAAAGAGAAAGGGAGGGAGACAGAAATGGCACAAAAAAATTTTAGTTCTTGAATTTTAACTAACGATAAGAGAAACAAAATTTCTTCGGGTTTTCAAATTAATCAAATCGATTAGATCAGTCAATCAACTTAATATAAAATTCAGAAGTTGCATCAAACTTACAGTAATTTATGTTATGATTGCAGTAATTTGAAGTATTTAATTTTACCAAGATTGGTAACAAGATTACTACATTAGTATGACTGTAATTGCTAACTAATTACTACATTAGTATGACTGTAATTGTTAACTAATTAAGATTGGAAAATTAAAAATTCCAAAATTAAGTAATGTAAAATTCTACATTTTCATGGTCTCGAATTTCTAACGATACTAATTAAGGATTAATAGAGTTGATAGTACTTTGGTAGTATCTATCGAATAATGTGGCTCGTAACTATGATTTACCCTTTTGTGTCGTATAATAAAGAATTTATATATAGATTTCTCTCTCGGAGCATCTTTGTACGATCCGATAAGCTGAAAATTGCTGCTGCCCGCGGAGACCTTGCGGAAGATACATTAACCTTTATTGATCAGATCTCTACCCAAAGACTTAGATATATATACAGGTGCATACACGTACACTACTATACGTGTATACGTGTGTGCGATATATAAACGCAACGACGGAAATTTTGGATAAACGTATTATCGTAAATACCCTTCGATTTGCCGGTCGATGGTGCACAATTCGTACACATAAATTCCAGACGCAAAGTGATGGAAAAGAGCAAAAGAAAAATAGTAGACGTAACCGAAGAATATTTATTATATCTGGTAAGAATTATGTTTTGGACACAGGTTGTTAAGATGCGTAAAATAGATAAGATCAATCGTGAAGTTCAGTTACTTTTGTTTTTCGAAAGGAAATTAATTTGAAGATTACAGTGGAAAAACATTATTACATTTCATTAATTTAACTTATTTTACGAACTATGAAAGACTACTTTACAGTTTTAAAAAACTTCGAAATAAAGAATAAATCTTAAAATAAATACATCGAAAAAATAGATTTCATGTTCAAGTTTCCAGTTAAAAACTAGTCTCAAAGTACACAGCGAGCTATGTAAAACACGATGAAATTATGTAAAAATACTTTATCTAGTCACGATAACAGTGACTCGTTGTCAGTTCATCGCACCTACGTAACACAAACCACGTAACATGAAACGAATTTGTAAAACTTGTTTAACATTCTAATCACGATTGTTAAGCTAAACGAGAGGACTCTTGAAAATTACCAAATAAATGTAAAGAATCTCTTTAGGGGTGGGGAACGGGTTCTCTGGTGTTTTTGTTTTTTTTTCCTCATTCTCTTCCGATACGCTCGTGGACGTATATACTTTGGCGAGATGCGTTTCGAAATTCCTTGCAGGATTCCTTGCAGCAATTTCCATAAAATTATTACACGACGCGCACACCGTCGAAATTTGCATAGCGTGGCCATGTCGCGGCCGCGTGAATAAAAAAAAGCTCCGCAACGTTTCGGTCTAATCGGGTTTCCGTGTTCTACCGTGATTCAACGGACGATAGAATATTTACAGACATTTCCACGAGAAAGCCGACCGAATGTAACGTTCTCGCGATTTTCTTATACCAGCGGATTCTTCGATTCCCTGCGAAAAGCTATCGAACGAATTCGCCCACCCTTTCTGCGGATACCGATTTCATGAGCAGACAGCCTTTTAGTTTCGAACGATTTCCGCCTCAGCTTCGGGTTTATTCGACGTCTCGGGAATATAGATTTTCTCGCGGTTGAATTAGATGGCTACGTGAACGGAAATGTTCCTATTTAGCAGAATGTTGGTGTTTCTTTTGAAGTGATCTTTTTACTTCTTCTCTTTTTCTGATCTTTTTACTTTCTTGAGAATTTTTGCAAGATTTTTGCAGAATATTTTACTGATATAGAAATCAATTTTAAACATTTACTTGATAATAGTTAATACAAAAGATTTTTCTACTGAAATTCTTCTTCTAATTAAATTGTTTGTGACTAGCACTTGATAAAAAATGTGGATTCTTAGCTAGATAATAAAAAGGGCATGAATAGTTTTTGTTAAAAATTTAATATATATTCTCAGTGTTTTAAGTTACTAATAACAACTATTGTTGTTTACAATAATAACAATATTATTATCTACTGTCATACTAATCCTGTAATACTATTAAAACATATATCAATAGAATTCTATATTCCATATTAATAGAATAGAAAATTTCTATTAATACGCTAACAATTCCACGAAAAACGTATGAATACGATTTTTTATATATTTACAATTCTATTCTCATATTGGAATAGTTAATAAACATCAAAATGCCCCTGTATATGATCTGTAATGTACATTTGTACATTACATAAAATCAAAGGAAACATACAGTTAACAAATTAAGTACATTCTCCCTGTATACAATTTAGAATAACATAAAAAGCATTACTGCAAATTCTCAAAAAAATTACATACAAAATATACAGAACATAAAACTGTAAAAAAAATTCCATTTAATAAACATCAATAGCGAAAAATTATTTACCAATGCTGTAAACAAAAATCTATAAAATCTTAATTTTCGTATAGGTCATGACCATTTCCAAATTAAATTACGATGTGCAAAAACATACTAACGACTAGTATATCAATTGATATTAGAATGAAGTGTCAAAAATTTTTCTTCCACTAACACATTTTTATTCAATTTGTCCTCAGTTGATAATCTCCATTCTGAGTAATATATCTCACCCATGGTAATGCTTGATATCCACTTTTCTCGATTATTTTTAGATAGCGCACTTGAATTCCAGAAGTAGTGAAGTATGGAATCTCAAATTTCACTTGAATTGGTGGCTTTCCTTCTAGATCCTCTCCAATAACAGATGGTAGACCAAAGTGTGCTCGCATCAAATATTCTTTTCCACCAGGGAATGACTTAATACACCAAGTTATTGCGCTTTGTTCTGGTGAATATTTAACACTACCAATGGTAGTCTTAAATTTAGGAGAGTCTGCATCATTGGGTACTGGAATTACTATTTCTACATTGTTGGCCGTGGAACGTCTCTTAAACTGTGATCTTGCTTTTATCATGTATTCCACTCTGCTATGGGCATGCCTCTCAATGACAGATTCAATCCATATCAGAGGCTTTACATGGGTGTTTAGTCTATAAGACATCAATTCAAACTCTCCATCAGGTGGAATGAAGGAAATTGTCCTATCATTTTCGAATCTAGACAATCTGACACATTGATGGAATTTCACATCTTCCAACTCAACAGATTTGGACTTTCCACGTCCTGTAGATTCAAATAACACTTTGTCGTTTAGACCAAGCCTTAATTCTGGCATTCCAGACAAGTAAACTCTCATCTTTATGGCACCAACAATTTCAGAACTCAATACATTTCCATTAGCATTTGCTAGAAGGTTCACAGATTCTATGACATCCAGAAATACTTCGTTTTTGCGGTACTTTATTCCTTCTGATCTCCAAGATACTGCATTAGTTACAGCCATAGGAATGCGTGGTTGAATTTCAAGCTTATGACCCTCTTGAGTAATGTACTCTTGTAATATCTTACTGTCCGTGGTTTGTGGGTAACCGAAATCTATTAATTCATCTAGGAGCTCATAAATGACTACAAAATTGTCTCTTATACTCTCTTCTTCCAGTTCCTTGAAATATTCTTGCATCACTTGCACCAATTTGTGCAAGAATACAAATACTAAGGAAATATTTGCATTCTTTTTTGTAGTAGACACAATATACAGATTATTGTACTTGATGTACGCATATGTACATTCAGCAGTTTGAATAATCGGAGTAAGATTGCCTTCCTCTTCGCGTTCCATTATTAGAGGCATGAATTTTTCTATAATACCCGTTTCTATGTCTCCGCGATAATTTCGAGAGATCAAAACCTTCCCCTTTACGTCTAAAATATATATCGCAGACGTCGACATCTTGAAAATTTATTATACTGCAACGAAAAAAAAAAACTCTACCATTATTACTCTACCATTACTAATCTTTATTTAAAATTTTAAATTAAGAAAAAGATGAGGAAGAATGGCAAAAACTGTTCAACAATCCACCTATCGAAAAAATATAGTAGAGGTTATGTTATCAAGTGAAACGTACTGTTGTTGAATTGAAGGGAATAAAAAATTCAATAGAAAATTTAAAATATGCATGAAGTTTATGTCAAGAATACAATATATAGAAATGTTATATGACGTAAAAAATAAATTCATAAAAAGTATAACTTGATGTCGATGACATGTCAAAAAGACCGAATATGAAGTTTTCAAAACAATGTATTGAATATATAGGTACTTACGTGTTTTTTTTTTTCTTTGAAATATCAGCTTTTCAATGATTTACATGAAAAATAATTTCTCTTGTAGAAGAGTAGTGGAAAATTATTTATTGACAAAAATCCCTCCCATCCCACTTGCTTGAGTGCCACTGTGGCACTGCCTGAAGTTGCTCAATTGTTCAGTACAAGTCATAATCGAAACGCATGCGCGTTAAATCCTATTATTGTTGCTATTATTATTTATTTATTTTATATTTATATAACGCGCTTTTTTTTAACTTTATTAGAATAATAAAAAAGCACAATTATTTACTAGTTTCAGAAAATTATTTATTATTCTCAGAAAAATATACTACTGATATTACGGATTCGACATATTCATGCCAACTTTAAATTAAATTATTAAATTGGATTAATATTCCCGTTCGATTTCCGTTGCATTTAATATTTTTGCAGTCCTCAAATAATATCTCATATGTTATTATCATAATTACTTTTAAAATAAACATTTTTTCTTATCTTCTACTAAGAATATATGTATATAGTCATGAACTTTATCTTTCAGCAAACTTTTTATTTCTTAAAATTCTTAATTACCGATAAATATAAGTTTATTAAGAAATTTTTATTCTATAATTTTATATTTTGAGAAACAATACAAATCGTAAATTTTAATGTAGCTATTTAAAATCGTAATTATTAATGTGGCTATGTCTCCTACAAGTACGCAGATTTATAACTTTTTATTAAAATTTTATGAATACAGATATACATCTACTATGTATTTTCGTGAAACAAGACATTTGAAAAATAATTATTTCGTTATATATAATTTTTGCCTTTGTAATTATTATATATAATCTATATCCTCAAAATATTCTGCAAAATGGATTGCAATTTTTCAGAAGTTAGTTAATGGCAATGCATACATACTTTATACATCGTTTTCGCATTACTATATAATTCTAATTCTATTAATTATAACAAACTAAAGATAAATAAAAGTAGGTGCGTTATTTAAAAAAAAAAGATCTATCTAGATCAGGTTCGCGAATTTGAACTTTACATAGTAGCATCAGTAGCCATCGGTGTTACGTAATAAAAGTGTAGTATACCGAAGTAGGCAATTGTTCGGCACAAAAGCGCATCGATGGCCTCATGGTATGGTGCGTTCGCTACAAAGTTTAAAGTATAAAAGAACGAAGGAGAGGTGATTGAACCTCGTTTGACTGCGCGAGCTTTGAAAGGAGAACGGGAAGTAGAAGATGACGCGGGAACCAACCCGATCACTGTTGGCTCTTCCTCTTCGTGAAAATGCGTAAGTACAACGATCGGAGCCTTTCAATTTTAATTAAAGTGTAATTTACGATGTCATTTCACCGTTGAAGTATAAAAGCGTGACTCGAGACGTGAAGAGCGCTTACGACAGAAAAAATTTTATTGATCGGATCTTCTTGACTTTTGCTCCCGCCATCGAATATTTAATATTATAATAGGATATTTACACATTTAAATAAAAAGGACTAAATGAAAAGTATATCACCGATACAATAACAAAGAAATCCAAAAGCAGTTGTTGTAATGAACTAACAAAGTTGCTGATACAAAAATACCTGATCTATCGCGTAAAAATTAATCGTACAGTAAATCGTAAATCGTACAGTAAACGCGTAACATCGTTAGCATGATATTCCTACTTAATAATATATAATTCGAAAGAAGCGAACAAACAGATTAAATTGCAAAACAGTATATTTACATTTAAAACTGCGTGCAGCCAGCACGTTTTTATAGCATCGCAATTACGATGACTCTGCACCGGATGTTTTCGTACTTTAACCAATCTGTTTCGCTATTTTATCCGAGGAGGAAAAAATAGAGTAACGAACGTATGGAGAACTCGGAAACTGCTGACCTAGTCTCATCAACGAAATCGGAGATTTCGTCGACAGAGAGAGAGAGAGAGAGAGAGAGAGAGAGAGAGAGAGAGAGAGAGAGAACATAGCCGATCGTAGCAAACAGCATAAATGTATTTGCGCAATAGAAGGACAAATATTGTTTCCTCCTTCCGTACTAATCGTTAACTTGGAGATCGTTTATCTGATCGACTCTCGATTGTCTGCATCCGGCCTGGATCCAGACTACGAGAGAGGAATATTTACCTGGGCATGATCGACTCATCCTGAATCGCAGCACTGTTTGCGCGAAATTCCGCGAGAAATTCCATTGTAATTGAACGGGATCGTCCCGATTATAAAGTCAAATCATTGATGAAGTAAGGGAGCTCTTCCACTAATAAAATGCATTCTCTTTTCTTCATTTTCCTTCTAATTTTCTTTTTATTTCTCAAATTTTCTAGAAGATATTATCGAATCCTGATTTAGTCCAATGCGAAAAATAGGAAATAGACAAGATGGCAAATTCATGAATGAAATACGAAAATGTGCTTGTTTTATCAGAAAAATAAGAATATAATATACGTACATTCAAAAGAGAATTTGTAAATATCTTTCATAAAAATATATTGTACGTGTTATAGAAAAATTTTATTGATAGATTAATGAAATACTTTGAACTATAAAAACCTTGAAACGAATTTGAAATTACAATGATTAATTAGTATAATAAATACAATAAATAACTGACTACCTAAATATAATTTTTGCGAAGTATATTTTAATTTAAAATTTTTATTTTAACAATTGAGTCGGGGCAATAAAGAAACGTAGATGATTTCTGTTAAAAATTTAATACATTCCCTCAGTATCTTAAATTACTAATACACTGTTTACAATAATAACAATATTATTATTTATGGTCATACGGATATATAATAGTTTTCCAATACTATTAGACCTTATGTTACTACAGGAAAATGCCTATTAATTCATTAACAATTCCAGGAAAACATTCAGACACCATGATTTTCAATATATTTACATTTTTTTTTCTTTTTTATATTGGATTATTTAACGTGTAATAGTATATGAAAAAAATATAATTTGTAATACATATTTATAACGAAATCGAAAGAAACATACAGTTAATAAATTAAGTACTTTGCATTTAAACGCAATTTATGATATCACGAGAACAGATTACCGAAACTATTCTAAAAAAAATTATATACAACACATGAAGAACATATACAAAATGTGAAGGAGTATTAAAATTGCAAAAAAAAAAAAAAATTAGAGACTAAATTATTTGTCAATATTGCAAATACTATTTCTAGATTCTATACAATCTTACACTTCAAATGTGTCACAATCGTCAACTATAAACATTCGGAAGCGTACTAAGCAAACCGACTAGTTTTTATTCATTTATCTTCAGTTAAGATTAAAATGAAGTGCTAAAAACATTTTTTTTCTCCACTAATTTGTTCAATTTGTCCTCAGTTGATAATCTCCATTCTGAGTTATATATCTTACCCATGGTAGTGCCTGGTATCCACTCTTCTCGATTATTTTTAGATAGCGCACTTGAATTCCAGAAGTAGTGAAGTATGGAATCTCAAATTTCACTTGAATTGGTGGCTTTCCTTCTACATCTTCTCCAATAACAGATGGTAGACCAAAGTGTGCTCGCATCAAATATTCTTTTCCACCAGGGAATGACTTAATGAACCAAGTTATAGCACTTTGCTCTGGTGAATATTTAACACTGCCAATGGTAGTCTTAAATTTAGGAGAGTCTGCGTCATTGGGTACTGGAATTACTATTTCTACATTGTTGGCCGTGGAACGTCTCTTAAACTGTGATCTTGCTTTTATCATGTATTCCACTCTGCTATGGGCATGCCTCTCAATGACAGATTCAATCCATATCAGAGGCTTTACATGGGTGTTTAGTCTATAAGACATCAATTCAAACTCTCCATCAGGTGGAATGAAGGAAATTGTCCTATCATTTTCGAATCTAGACAATCTGACACATTGATGGAATTTCACATCTTCCAACTCAACAGATTTGGACTTTCCACGTCCTGTAGATTCAAATAACACTTTGTCGTTTAGACCAAGCCTTAATTCTGGCATTCCAGACAAGTAAACTCTCATCTTTATGGCACCAACAATTTCAGAACTCAATACATTTCCATTAGCATTTGCTAGAAGGTTCACAGATTCTATGACATCCAGAAATACTTCGTTTTTGCGGTACTTTATTCCTTCTGATCTCCAAGATACTGCATTAGTTACAGCCATAGGAATGCGTGGTTGAATTTCAAGCTTATGACCCTCTTGAGTAATGTACTCTTGTAATATCTTACTGTCCGTGGTTTGTGGGTAACCGAAATCTATTAATTCATCTAGGAGCTCATAAATGACTACAAAATTGTCTCTTATACTCTCTTCTTCCAGTTCCTTGAAATATTCTTGCATCACTTGCACCAATTTGTGCAAGAATACAAATACTAAGGAAATATTTGCATTCTTTTTTGTAGTAGACACAATATACAGATTATTGTACTTGATGTACGCATATGTACATTCAGCAGTTTGAATAATCGGAGTAAGATTGCCTTCCTCTTCGCGTTCCATTACTAGAGGCATGAATTTTTCTATAACACCCGTTTCTATGTCTCCGCGATAATTTCGAGAGATCAAAACCTTCCCCTTTACGTCTAAAATATATATCGCAGATGTCGACATCTTGGAAATTTATTATACTGCAACGAAAAAAACCCTACCGTTATCCTAATAAATCAATCTGTACTTGAAATATAAAATCATGGAGCGCAAGAAGAAGAATAACACACGAAATCGTTCAACAAACCATCTGTCGTAAAGGTGTAATAGAGGTTATGTTATCAAATATAATGTTTTGTTTAATGAAAGAGTGAAAGAGTTAATGCAAAATTTAAAGTACAATGTATAAATTTTATATCTAAACAATAAAACTTTAAACAATCGGATGTAAAGTGAATCCAAGGAAGTATCTTAATATCGAGGATATGTCAAAAGGGCTGAATATAAATTTCAGAGAAAAATTCGTCGAATATATAAGTACTTACATATTCTTCCAATTCCTTATGCAGTATTAGCCTTTCAATTATTTAAATAAAAAAGAACTTCTCTTGTAGAAGAATAATAAAGGAAACTTTATTGACGAAAACCCTCCCCACCCAACTGCCAATGTATTACTGAGAGCTGTCCTGAAGTTGCTCAGTACTATCTATAATCGAGGCGCATGCGTTGCCAACTTCGTGTTGGATATCGACCAGCTCCTCTTCCGCGTCATTCAAACACTTTATAGACGGCAATATTTAGTAGCAGCTATTTCTCCTGTTTTTTTTTTAATTTCAGACTTCGCTTACGCTCGAATTTTATTGCTAGAATAAAAAAGGTAATTTAATGTCTCCGGAAAGAGAGAAAGGTCAATGATACTGCTGAATAAACGAATTATAAAATTTATGTTGACTTTAAATCAAATTACATATATTCTTTTTTGTTGGGTCTTAGTGTTTTTGATAATCTAACGTTGTTGCTTAAAATGATAATAAAATTTTCATTAATATTATACTAATCCATGGATTAATATATATATATATATACATACTAAGTTACTCACTTTTTAAAAACTGGCAGTACAAAAATTTATTTTAACATATAGTAATTTAAATTATTGATATTGTAAATTAAATTTCTTTTGCTCAATAATAGTTAACAAATTAAATCAAATATACTTACTTAAACAAATCGAGCAGTCATATTCAGTGAAAATTAATCGCCAAATTCCTTATGCAATTCCATGTTATTATAAATTATAATAATTTGTGGATCAAAAAAGAAAATAGAAGACAGAAATTATCTATAATATGTATTCAAATTAATTTAGTAACCGGTGTATATATATATATATATATATATATATATATCTGTAGTCTACTAATCACGAACACAAAGTTTCTTCTCCACGAAGAGATCAGCCAAAGGCTCTTGTCACAAGTATTCTTCCTGAGCCACATCCCATCACTCTTTCTCCGCAGCAGCTTCAAATTTCCCCGCAGAACTACAATCTTCCCGCTCCCATTCACCTTTCTTCCGTTGTTTCCCCGAGCTTTGCACCATTTTGTCGCTGTTTCTTTCGCCTTTATTCCCTGGCGTGCACGCGGCCGCAGAGCAATCGCGCCGGTTCTCGGTCTGTCGATTTCCGTGGATGAAACGTCAATCCCAAGATAAAGTGGCGGAATACGGGGGCAGGATCTCGCGGCTGTATTACGCGCGCTCCAGTCAATCCCGCCTCCTCTGCATCTGGGATGCAGGGGGTTGAAAGTTAGAGCCGCCCTGGGAATCTGACGCGACCGATAATTGAGACACGAAATTAAATTAGCAGAACTTCGATTCCTTGGTCGCCGTATACGTCCCTCCGGTACCTTGGACAGAAATGCGTTCGGTTGTCTCGATCCTGTTTCCCTCCATCAAATCGTTAGGCGAACTGCTTTCCCTTTCTGATGGCCAGTTGACGCGTCAATGGGTGTGCAATTGGATTAAAAGGTCTCTCCGTGCCACGGAGAATTGCATGAAGATTGTTTATTAAGCTATTCAAAACATCGACGAAACAGCGTGTGTGTCCAATACTGTTCCCACATTCACCAATGTGGAAACAGTATTGGACATTTTAAACCAATATAATATATTACCAATATAATATATTACATTGGTTTACATAAAAATATTTGAACATTTAATATAGAAAATTTTACGTTTGTTTATGTTACATAAAACAGTTTGAAACTCCTTTAACGTTGTAATGATGAATTACATATTAACGAATTCGTATTAATTAGAAATAAGTATACAACATAAATACTCATCTTTTTCCATTTTAGAGATGCATATTTTTCAAACGATACATATCTCTTGAGGTACTGTAAATTTTTTTATTTCGTGTGATTAAAAACTAAATGAAGTCGAACACGATCTAATAACATCTTCAGTTTCTATTTTCATTTTGTGAATTCAACGCATCAGTCTGGTAGAAGATTCCAATATGTATGAACTTACGGAAAAGAAAGGAAGATTCCATGAAGATTCATTTTGATAAGCTAAAAACTTCGTTTGGCCAGCGTAATATTTCGACGTACTTAGGTGTTTTCAGAATGAATTCCCTTAAACCTGGGAAAGCTTTGAGAGTCACGTCCGCTTTATACGCGCTTTTCCACGTTATTTTTCAAGAAAACGAGTATCATTAGCCCGATCTCGCCAGGAGAGAAGATTGTTTTCGCGAGCATCAAAGAGATTTTTCAGTTCTCTGGCTAACCGCAAAACGGTGCTGCTTCTTTAGAAGAAAATCCATTAGGATTTTCAAAGGGTCTGTTTCCTTTAACGCGTAACACTCCGCGTATATTTGCGTATGTTTCAACTTCAACTGTTAATCGTACGAATGGAAAACGTACAAGCACTCGATTAGTTGTAAATTTCTAGCAAGACTGTGTTATACTTGAGGATACCATGGATTCGCGTTAAATAACGTGAAGGAGATACACGACATTTTTTTCTTTTTTTATCGCTGAATAAAAGATGTGAAAGGTCCATGGAACGAAGAGTTACATTAGTGATAAAGTTGACAAATCGTTTCGTTAGCGACATGAATAACGTGTGCTCTCTCATTCTCAAATTCATCCTTAGGGGTATACACCCGCTGCTGCGGTCTTATCTCAAATTTTCGATGGACACGCGAATACTACATAATCGAGAACCTTAAATGAATTTTGAAAGAATTTTTTGAGCTTTTAACGTCGTACGAGTGATTGTTACGAGCAAGAGTGCAGTTATTTTTTAACGCTTCCACGATCATTGCTAAAGTAATTACACGAACAATTTTTGCCGTTTCTTTTGAGATATATTTTATAGATAATGTATACCAAATTATATTCTCGTGAAAAATTACAAAGATAATTGAGAAAAGATTAATTTTCGAATATGAAGAGACTATATTAATTATTTAGGGAGAGTTAATTATTTAATTAGAAAGAAATAATTAAAGTAGGCATAGTTACGTCCTTTTTAATTCTTCATTTAAATTGCATTTTAATCGGACATTTTACAAAGATAATAAGGTTACAAAGATGATAAAAAATGAACCTTGAACGAGAGCTTTTGTAAAAACGGTCTGTAAACCTATTTAGCTGAAAGTATTTTCATAACTTAAATTACGATCCAGTTGGAACGCGTACAAAGCAATTAATAATTGCCTGTGTAACTTGTGTATAGAATTCAGCTTATTTATCGACACGTATATGTATTTAATGAACGCGTACAGATAATTTATTTCGTATACCTTATAAGCTCTTTCCTCACTATTGCCAAAGGAAAATTACAAAGGTCTGAAAACAAGCAATTTTAATATCGCGAATTATTACATGGTAATTAATTTTATTTATTCATGTGTGCCAAATCGAAATTTACAAAGGAACGTTTGCAAAAGGACATAAATTAATCGCAACATAGCACACGCACAAAATTTTACAGAACTATAGACTTTTATGCGTCTGTAAGAAATTTTAAGAAGTTCAACATCTTCTCTTTGTATGTGATTTTAATTATTCTGTGTTTATATATATATATATATATATAAAATTCTTAGTTTAGAATTTTAAAGATAAAATGTTTCATGTCACTTAAAATATCATTTCTCCAGTTCGGTAATTAACTTGCTGATACCCTAATCTTTTGAAATTTTATGAAAAATACTAAGAAATACCAAAGAATAAATTTGACGAATTTTTGTTCTAAAAAGAACACACTCTCTCAAAATGGTCAACTTATCTTTTTCTTGGAAATGCTACGGCTTTAAAAAAAAAAAAAAAGAACAACGAAGAGATGTATTTAAAAGATTAGAAATTTGAAATTGCTACTCGTAACGATATGAGACATTCGGTACAAGGCAATTTTGCCTTTCTCGCTCGAGGCTCGACCAATCTTCCACCGCGATTCCCCGCAGATTGTCCGCCTTAAAGATTTATCTTAGCAACGCGAAAGGTTGTTCACTGCAAACCTACATATAGTCGCTGGGACTGATATAGCGAAGCCATAAATTCAGACGTTTAGTAGAGACAGTTATGGATGCAGTCATGTCTAGAGTTTATAGATATCATATAAGGTGTCTGCTAATCTTACATACAAAACGTAGCAATAAGTCTGGTTGTCCAAAAGAGATGATTAACATCAAACATGATCATTTGTAATTTTTCATAGAAATTTCAAAAATAATTTTATTTATATAATAGAATTTATTTAAAAAGTATATTCTTCAATCACGTTGTTAGAAAAAAAACAGTCATTTTAATAGTTTTAGAGCTTCGCATAGTAATTTGACAGTCACAGTAAATCATTTTCTATACTTTAGTATTCGAAATATAGAACATACCGGCAGACTTTCAGAATCAATATCTTCTTAAGGAACAATCTTAAGAAAAAAGAAAAAAAAATGAAAAGAAAATGTAAGAGAAGTTGACAGTCGAACTAACTTAAAAGAGAAAAAGGAAAATCCATCTTTGAAAAAAAAAGAGAAAAAGAAAAAGAAGATGCAGCAGTTTTCACAATGTTCCTGCACGTCTCTTTTACCGACTGCACACCTTATAGAAAACACTATTAAGTTAAATCTCCTGTCTCGTCTCAAAGAATATCCGTCCCGGAGAAACGCAGTTACCACAAAGCCTCGGCTTTCATTGAAAATCCAGACACGCGTTATCCCGAGTCTCAAATTGTCGGAGCCCGCCGAGAAAAACAAAGAGGGACCACCTTGGAGGGAATAAAGTAGCACAGCGCCGAGGTGTATCGCCGGTTTAGGATGACGAGATAGTGGTCGAAGGTGGAAGACAAGGGTGGCGTGTGGCACTGATTGCTCTGAGAAAACTTGCCTCCCCTCGGGCCATCCCTCTGATCAAGCTTCTCACCCCCTAACGCTATTCCCTCGTACCCTCGTCTCTCCTTCTATCACTGGAGCTGGATTCACGCTGGCTCTATCTATTCTCTCGATTCCAGATCGCCGCTTGATTTTAGCGATTCAGGAACAACCGCGTCGGTTTCGGGAAGAACCGCAACTTAGAATCGGGGTAAAATCGGGAGAGAAACTCTCATGGACGCGGGACGAGGAGGCTGATATTCAGGCTGGGCCTTCGGTTCTTCCTTGCCGTGTTCGAGGGATGTTTTGAGTGCAATTTAACTTGCACAACCGAAACAGAGAGCTAGGAGAGGAGGGCAGAAGCAGGAAGGGGGGAGGGAGGAAGGGGAAAAAGAAGCCGGGAGTGGCTGACTGGGTCTCGCCCGCGGGTCACGCGAACTGCAACCACTCCAAGACGTTTTGCATAACGAAGTTTACGAGGCGATTCGTCGGCGAGGAACGTTGCATGGCCTACGAAACAGCTACGGGACCGGTTCCGTTGATTGAAAATAGTCGGAAACGTTGTGTCGCTTCCGGTGACGGCTGAGGTACGTCTCTCGATGCAATCTCCGATCCGGGGCTTACGAAATATACGTACACGGGGAAATATATGTATATTGGGGTTATTGCCGCGGGTTATTGCTTTCCCGGACAAACGGATCTTGTAAGGCAAAAGATGATTTTTATTTCATTGGGAGTTTACAAATCATTAGAGATTAAAATAGAGCTTATTGCAATATATTTTTGTGACGACCGCTGAAAATGGTAGTAAAATAAGCGGTCATTATAGCGTTGATACGTTAATTGCGAATTAATATAATAATAATAATAATATCCTTTAATATAATAATATAATAATATTAATAATATAATACTATAATTAATATAATTAATATAATAAAAATAATATAATTAATAATAACATCCTAGTTTTCGCTAAGAATATATTTACTTGCAGTTTTTTCAAAGAAAGATGATGAAATTAGACTACTTAGATTTACCCTCTTATCAAAAAAAAAAAAAAAAGAAGTAAGAAAAAAGAACCGAAGATTACTTCAAACTTTTGATCAAAAATGCGATTGTTAAAGTAGAGTTCTTTTTTCTAATTTTCAGGACTAGGTGAAGTGGAGGTGATCTCGGCGAGCGGTCGACAGACCTTCGAGGCCGTGGCTGAAGTCGTGTTCGACGGTTATGCTGCTGGCGTCGCTTCGAGTGGCCGCCAGCAAATGCTGTCATGCTCTTGCCATGCCAGCCGGCGGCCAGGAAGAGGCCGCTGGCCACGAGGTCCTTGAGCAAATCGAGAAGCTGCCTCGTGCTGATTATCGTCGTCGTGCTAATCGGCCGCGAGGGATCGCGAGCTGCCACGCAGGTCCGCTACGCTTCGCGCATCGTCGAGACCAAGAGTGGGCAGATACGTGGGATTCTTCAGGTGTGTATCGATTTTCTTCACTTTGAAAATCATTCGTTCGAACGAATCAATTCTTGTGTCGACTTCGATGAAGAATATTTTGAGGGGAAAAAAAATGATGCTGTTATGTGACAATCGATCGAAGCACTTGATATTGATTATCAAAGTTAATTAATTATTGGATATTTACCCGTTATCATTTATTAAATATTTTTATAATATTATAAGTGTTTTTATAGAATTTGAGAGAATTTCTCAAATTTACAAGATGGAAGGGAAGATTTAAATTAGATTAATGATAGAAAGGAATTTTTCTGAATACTTTTATGGATAAGATGTAGTATTTATTGTAGCAATAATATATAAAAGTTTTACACTTTCTTACAATAAAAATTGGTAGAATGTTAGTTCATCAGAAAATTAAGATTCATTAGGAAAAAGTGAATCTTTGTATTTGAAATTCAAAGATTAATATACTTATACCTGAAATTTTTCGCCATTCAGTATCCATTTATATTTAGTATAAGAAGAAAGAATTAAAATTATATTTTTGTATAATTAATAATAATATCCTAGTTCTTGCTAAGTTATGTATGATCTTCGTTCATTTACATTTAGTGCAAGAAAAGGCAACTAGATATTTACTAGAATATCTCTGCTTCAGTTCCGACGGTCTGAGTATAAAAGCAAGTTTACTCTAAAAATTGTAGAGGGAAGAATTTTCCCTTTGACTCCCCTTTGACCTCATCTTCTGAAGCTTTTTCCATTAGTCCTCCATTTCCAAATACTGTCGAATAAACATCTTTATCTCATCAACAAATATGTTTCTGAATATAGAAAAGTCAACGAAAATGTCTCGTCATTTTCTGACAAAAGAGCAGTCGAATTTTTTGAACAGTTTATTTGCGCGTTGAAACATTTCTCAGCTTTCATTCTCGTTGCTTTCGTTCATTGTTCAATGCTTTGCCAACTTTTTCTGGGTCAATTTTCTCCTCTCAATTTTTCAAGCTTCATTGAATTTTCAGCTCGTTCCGAGATGTTAATTTTACTGTCGCGTATGTATGTTTGGATACGTGTTCTTTGAATTCTGCGAAAACACTCGTTGTCACAAGAGTAATTGTTAGAACTAACTGAAAACGACATTTTCATAGAAAAACTAATACTGTGTGAATGTGTGTTACATAAAACATTTGAAAATTTCATTGGCATTGTTAAAATGAGACACGAGTGTAATGATGAAATTTGAAAAAATATAAAAATATAGGAATTGCAAAAATATTCCCATTCATTATAGATATTTAGGTTATTATTTACTGTATTTATTGAGATTTATTAAAATGATATATAATTGAACATTTAAATACTTTTTTGATCTCTGTGCAACATACTGAAATCTTCTTACTATGTCTATTTAATTTTATTAATTAAGAAACCAAAAATTTTCTGTGAACTACGTATACTCTTTTATGCAGATTTATGAAATTAAAAGCGCAAAGTATGCACAAAATGAACACAGTATGTAAAAATTTTATAAAAATATGATGTTTTCTACAAGATTTAGCAAGCAAAATAATTTTCTACCACAAAATTGCATTTGTTTAATTACAGAAACACGAAGTTCACGTGCATAAAAATCCACAGTACTGCTCGCAGCAGTGCTGACGTGATTTCATACAAAATATTTCATACAAAACGCATAGTAACACGAATAGTTCGAACACATTTCCACGTGATTCACAACTTTACCAAAATTCTCAAGCATTAACGTTCTGCGAATTTGCCGTCAAACGCGAGGTGAAAAGCAACTCGATGAACGGGGAAATAAAACAGGAGAGTATGATCGATCGTACGTTACGATCAGTTGGTTTGCATACTAAATGCATAACCCTTGCGCGCGCGTATGGAGCCTGAAAAGGGTCCGTTGTAACGCAGATTGTGTCACGTGTGGAAACCGAGTCAGCCGGCGAATAAAACTTTCCACGCGAAAGTGTTAAAAATGCGAGAGCGAAGGTTGGCTGCGGGCACACTCCGGATAAAGAGAGGAAATTGACTGCGCGTCCGCGAGCGTAAAGCGCGCGATCGTATAAATAATTCGCGATACGCGATAACTATTACGTTACGTTTAAGCTTCGAAATCTTTGCCGCGGTATTCATGGAATATTTGAGTACATCGATTTCTGCCATTTTACTGACGCGGCGGAGTGGCGGAGGGGAAACTATCGAACGAAATGGTTGCCCCTGGTATACGTGGAAAGGAGAGTTTGAATATCCGATGCATTGGAAATATGAATCTGAGAGCGCGAAAATGGATACCCGGAAAGTTCTCTCCATCGTCGAACATCTTATTTTCTGACGGTGGAATCTGTTTTTTTCTTTTTTCTTTTTTCTTTTTTTTTTTCGACTTTACTCGATTTCGCGGTTTGGGAAGTTTCCGAATCGATTTATTGGGATAGAAGTTAGGATCGAGAGTTAGGTTGGACTAGAGACCGATTTTTTGGAATGTTCGAAGATGTTGGAATGTTCGATGAATGTTTAAGGGTGCTAGAATTGTGTCTTACTGTTGGAGATCTTACGTGATTATGAATCAGTAAAGTTAGCGAAGCATGAAAGTATTTTATACTCGTTTCCAACTGCTCAGAAATTTGAAACACCATTTTCTTTCTAGATGAAATGCATTTTACCGAAAAATTATGAATATCGTAATTATAAGTTTCACTTTTGAATAGATCAACTCTCATTGGACCATGATATTAAGGAGACCAATATCTATCCTCGAATTTCGATCGTTACAGTATAATTATTAAAGAAAATTATTGTTGTTATTTTTATATATATTTTTTATCAAAATACTTTGAAAAGTTCTCCTGTACTCTACATTTTTATGCTGCAACTATTATTTCGAGTTCAGATAAAACTTTCACACGTCGTAACCTCAGTTTCAACATAAAATTCCTGTCGAATTTTCGTCCCGAACATCTATCACAGTTCGTCAATTGCATTGTAACGATATACAGTACGAATACTATACCCATTTTTCGTTGAATGGAATTTCAGTAACGTCTAATTGCGTTTGTGGAATTTTCGAATGTTTTTTCACTGGCGACGTAGAAAATATGAAATGTAAACGATAAACGGATACAGGTGTCACGGGTACTGATACACACACATATACACACACATGCACACACGGCGCCCCAATAAATATTTTCAATAATTTAGCCCGGCTATTATACTTCAATCATTCGGACAAGCTCGTCGATCCGCTTCAATTATCCCCCATTCAATCCCCTCCATTTTTTTTTTCTTCTCGCTTGAACAACCCTTCATCGTCGATCGTGCAAAATTCTCCCTCCCCCTCCTCTCTCTCTCTCTCTCTCTCCTTCTCTCTCTCTCTCCCCCCGTGTGTATACAAAATAAAAGCTGTGTTTTTCAAAGAATCGGTCTGATTCTCTTTTCTCTCTTTTCAAACATCAGTATCGGTCGCGTCTATCGTTTCGAAATGAAATATCCGCGTGTCGAATTTTTTACGACGTCAATCAACCGGCAAAAACGACGCCGACCTGACGTATACTGCGACAATCGCCCCGTCGTCGCGCCGCTAGACGTGAATTGCGTTTAATAGATATTCATATCGACAGTGGGTGGGGGGAGGGGGGGAAGAGAAGGATCGATGGACGTGGAATGATTTTACAGACAATCCGGCATCGTGACGAAAGCGGGACAGCCAATTTCGCCAGCGCGAAAAGTATCCGGCCGGTTGTCGAGCATCTTTTATTCGATCTTTTATCCAATCTCCCCATTGCCACCCCCCCCCCCTCGCCCCCGTCGACGATAGCAGCAGGCTCTCCGAGGCATCGTCGTTTTGGAATTTTAAATCTTTCTCTCCGCCCTTTATCCCGGATAACGTAGAGCACTTGACGCTTGCTCGATAATACTCTCGAGATCGTTGATAGAAAGTCAAATGTAGATACGGGTATCTGGAAGTTTGGTTTTTTAGCCAATCGACGGGGATATTGAAACAAGGTTCGAATGATGAACTAACTTTTGACACTTATGATAATTAATTTACTCATTGAAAGTTCGACATCTGTATTATAACACATTGCACGTATCAAAAACGATGTATCAAAAACGATGTGTTTAACTTCTTGCGCTGGAATGATCGAGAATTTTTGCAATATTTTCTCAGTTATAGATATATTTAAATGTAACCCAGACGAAACGATATATAAATAATAAATTTATCACTTCTCAATAATTTCTATCCAGTGATATCATACCGACGAGTACAAAAAGAAAGCGACAAATTATCGTATACGGTTCGGTCACTCGTTGCCAGCGCAAGGAGTTAAATGTGAACATACTGATTCATCTTCGTCATCATCTGTTAATCTATGACTCTACGAGAAGAACTGATTTAAAAAAAAAATGACTCTGCAAAGCTTCGTCCCTATACCGAGGTAATTCATCCTTCAAACGACGAACGAACGGACGAACAGACTGGTGGTCGTAAAATTAATAACGAATGACGGATCATTGCCCGTTTCCACAAATCTCTGGCAACAACGATGGGGTATTTGAACGTCGGTAGATCGGCGTAGCGGAACGATCGACACGCCGGCGACGTTTCCCTCTTGTAACACTCAATCGCGCGGAATGGAGCGAGCGCAGGCGAACGAGAAACGAGCGAGTTGCGTCGCGTAATGTAAAGGCCACCAGCAGGCGTCCCGGACGAAAAACTTTTCTCGTTATCCATCCATCCAGCGGGACCGGCCAAGCTAAAAACGCCCGGTAAATTACGGGCTCCGCAGTTCAGCCGGAACGACCGCGCGCACACCCTCGGCTTCCGTTCCGCGCGGAATCGCGCAAGATTTGACACCGTCCTCGTTGATTCTTTTTGCTCCGACGCCGGCGCTGGCCATCGTTGGTTTTGCACGGTGAATTTCAAATATGAGGAATGAGAATTTTCTACGTGTCTTTGAGAAATAGCTTGATAAGCTTTTTCAGGGTAGGGGGAGAAG